AAAAGAAACAAAATTTATGAGACAGTTGTTGTCAGATTTTATTGGTGATTTCAAATATGAAAATTAATCGTAAGCTTAGTGAACAGTTTTGGAGAATTCGATGTTTCCCCATTAAAAGAGATAGGTTCTGCACTTGCATGCCCAAGAGGCATTTTAAAGATGATTGCCGAGTGAAATTACTTGCCTTAAAGGGACTTTGCTTCCATCAACAAGTGTTCCATGAGTCTTTGGAATGATGCAGTGGCATTTTTCAACCCAAACGGGAGACAAAGAAATGTATATATATCTGAGGAGGTAGTGAAGGCTGTCTTCTCAATACTGTCCACTTCCATTTCCATCTGCCAGTAACCACTTTTTAAATCAAGAGTTATAAAAACAGTGGCACAGTGTAAAGACTCCAAAATGAGCTGAATTTGTGGCATTGGGTAAGCGTCTATATTTGTCAGATTTTATTGGTGATTTCAAATATGAAAATTAATCGTAAGCTTAGTGAACAGTTTTGGAGAATTCGATGTTTCCCCATTAAAAGAGAGAGGTTCTGCACTTGCATGCCCAAGAGGCATTTTAAAGATGATTGCCGAGTGAAATGACTTGCCTTAAAGGGACTTTGCTTCCATCAACAAGTGTTCCATGAGTCTTTGGAATGATGCAGTGGCATTTTTCAACCCAAACGGGAGACAAAGAAATGTATATATATCTGAGGAGGTAGTGAAGGCTGTCTTCTCAATACTGTCCACTTCCATTTCCATCTGCCAGTAACCACTTTTTAAATCAAGAGTTATAAAAACAGTGGCACAGTGTAAAGACTCCAAAATGAGCTGAATTTGTGGCATTGGGTAAGCGTCTATATGTGTCTTAGCATTAAGACCCTATAATCAACACAAAACCTAGAACTTCCATTCTTCTTCGGTACAACAACCACCGGTAATGCCCATGGTGAGATCGGAAAATTATTTTCTCGAAAAGCTCTTGAACATGGGACTCAATGAACTGATGTTTCTCCAGTGAAACCTATCTATGGTAGTGATACAATGCTTGACATAATTTGTTCTGCTAAGCTGTTGAGTGCACACTGTGGGCCAACTTAACGTTAACTCCTCCAAGTTCTTTTGAATGATGGGGTCTGAATCTACCATTTGTGTGGTTCAAAGAATCTGCTGATGATCTTCTGAACTAACAGTAGGCATGGCTAGATAAAAGTACATCTAAGAGTGGCCATTGTGATGCATAAAAGGAAAAATCTTTGGTTCCGGTGAAGTAGATAGATGGAACTGTGCTTTGTTAAAATCCAATACCATCTTTTCCAATACCACTTTAATAAAAAATAAATTCCCAGGATAATTGGTATGGTTAGGTTGGAGTCTTGCATAATATAGAAAGTTGCATTTATCTTTTGCCCCTGGACTTCACATTCCCAATTGACTTTACCCAGTGAACTTTGCCTCTGTCCATTTGCTAATAGGAACGTCTGACCTCCACTAGGCTGATAATCTTCATGACAACTTAATTGTTCCCACAAAGACTTTTGTATCAGTGAAAAGGTACTGCCTGTATCTACTATAGCAATGACATAACTGTTTCGGAGTATTTAAGGAATGGTGATGTTTTTTATTAAATCATGAGTTTGATCCAACTCTGATCCAACAGCATAATTCGATTAGCACTTGTAAGGATTTGCGTTGGAACTCTGGAGCAACAGGTCCAGGTCCAAGTTTCCTTAAAGGGGTCATATGATGCAATTTCAAGTTTTCCTTTCTCTTTGGAGTGTTACAAGCTGTTTGTGCATAGATAAGATCCCTAAAATTGCAAAGACTAAAGTCTCAAACCTAAAGAGATATTCTTCAAAAAAGTTAAGACTCGTCCACACCCTCCTAAAACGCCTCATTTAAACACGCCCCCACATGTCTACATCACTATGTGGGAAGATTTGCATAACACCGCCCAAATGTTCACGCAAAGAAAGAAAGCGTAACTTTTATTCCTGGTGTAGTATTGTTGCCACCGCCGCCATGTCGTGGAGACGCTGTGTGTTTCGTTTGTGAATGCGAAACTACTTTGTTTGACCTTCCAAAAGAGGACACAATGAGAAATCAGTGGTTAAGTTGTATTTACAACACCGTTCCAGAACAGTTCAACCCAAATATTCAGATGTGTGCAGCGCATTTTACGGAGGACTGCTTCCTGAACCTGGGAGAGTAGCCTATAATGCTGTGCACAAAGGTTGTTTCTATAAAGTGGGGCAATTCCAACTTTGCAAGGACAGTCTGGCACGTCTGACTCACAGCCTGTAAGTACGTTTTCATATTTAAAGAATTTGCCACTGACAATTCAAACGCGAGTTTTGAGCAGTGTAGAGTAGCGCTTGTTGTTTGTCGTTTCTCAAATCACAAATGCAGACATGGTTTTATGTTTACGCAGCGTGATACGCAATGTGTAAAAAGACAGTATAGGTCATTATAATCCGTAATTATGTCCCCACTGGATGCAACAAAGGCCTCATTTGTAATGGGTTTTATTGGTTTTGTCTCGTCACGCTGGGACATCGCATCACAGTATGGTAAGGGGCATAACATTTCTGTCACACGCTTGAGGTATTTGGCCAATCACAACGCACTGGATAGCTGGACAATCAGCGTACACCTCACTTTTCAGAACGATAAACTTTGTAAAAATCGATACGTTTCAGAAAGGAGGGGCATAGAGGAGTAACAATAATGCACAGTATGTGGAAAATAATGTGTTTTTTGAACCTTAAACCACATAAACACATTGCATTACACCAAATACACAAAATAATGTTCTTTTTAGCAACGTCATATGACCCCTTTAAAACATAGCGTGTGTTGGAACTCTTTGATCTTGAATGATCTCCGCACAATGAGCAAAGCGTTTTGATCAAGTTATTCATTAGTCTAACAATGAGTAATTCACAAGACAAAAGAAAGGAGAGACAGACGTTTTTCTACAAAACAAACACACAACTATAGCATTAACAAATAACAACAGACCATAATTTCAACGCTACTTAAACTATATACAAAGTAAGTGCAAAGTTACATAGTTCAAAACAAGCTTAGAACACTAGATTGAGCTTGAAACATTTGTTTGTCAATCCAAACTCCATTAAGCAGTGAGGTTATGTGAGAGAAAGCCATGCTTTTCCTTAATCAAACAGGTATATCCTACTCTACTGCCTATCTACGCTTTGTCCCCAAATGGAGATTACCCTAGAGCACAGTAGAGGAATGTGACGAGTGGGGTGGGGCCGAGAGCCGTGGGAAGGGAGCTAGGCTGGTGGAGTAAGTGATAATGCATGACACCTGCGCCACTCACCGGTCTCGAGACCCACGGAGGAGCTCCGGAAGGATAAAAGGAGGAGTGACGACAGTGCAAGACGAGAGAGGACCAGGCCTGGATTTTATTTTGTGTTTTGATTCTGTTTGTGCGCAACAGTCATCCGTGAGGCTATTATTCAAGTTTTGTTTAAATGTTTGCCGGTTCCCACCTTTTTCTTCCCGATCTACGAACGTTGTTACATTGGTGCCGAAACCCGGGAGGAAGGAGGGACACGCTGCCAGAGATCCCTCGCCACTGTGGTGAATTCGCGGTGCCATCGAGCATGGTGGAGCAGTCTGCCGCCATGGATGCTCAAGGCGGTGGGCTGGAGTGAGTTGCCGGGGGGGCGGACAAACTCGCTGCCGGCCGCCTGGGATGTGGAGGGACGGCTGCCGTCCGTGAGGGAGCAGAGGAGTCGCCGCCGTTCACCTGAGGCCAGAGCCTGCTGCCATCCGCCATGATAGAGAGGAGCAGGGAACGGGGGACTCCTGCCGGCTGCTCCGATCCCGGAAGAGCCATCGCCATCCACTGGTCGGCGGAGGAGTGTCGTGCCGTCCACCGAGGGCTATTCAGTGCCGCTGCCAGGCATCGCGGAAGAGTTTACCCAGCTGGTGGAGGGCCGAGCGGCAGTGTGTCTGGGAACCGGAACAAGAATTTTTTTTCCTCTCTCCCCTCTCTCGTCTCTGTCTCTCCTCATCCTGTCCTTTCCCCCAGGTACGCCGCGGCCGCCGTGATTGGCTCCCCTGGAGGGGGGAGGGGGGAAGTAGAGCGCAGTCTCAGGAGTACCCCCGGCCTGCGATGGGGCGATGGGGGTATGTGACGAGTGGGGCGGGGCCGAGAGCCGTGGGAACGGAGCGAGGCCGGTGGAGTAAGTGATAATGCACGACACCTGCGCCTCTCACCGGTCTCGGGTCCGACGGAGGAGCTCTGGCAGGATACCTCCTTCACAATCTACGAACATTGTTACAAGGAACTACACCCAAAACAAAACATAGTAACCGAACTATGGTCCTTCAAAATATTTCCTTAAAACTTGCATATTGATCTTACAAATGTTTTGTCCTTTGAAGGAAACAACCTTGTTCAGTCATATGGAAACAACATTCAGATACATACTGAAAAAAAATACAGGAAAAAATGTCATAGAGAGGATGTAATGTGGTATGACTCTGCAATATTGTAATATTCATGATTTATTCATGATATTTGTAAAAAATACTTTTTACTTTTTAAAAATTAAATATAGTTTAAATCAAATTTATGAAAGCATAATAAATATGTGAAACCAAAATATTTACAAAGATCACATTACTAAAAACATTTCACATGTTATAAACTTGATTTTCATATGATTTTTTCCCCCTTCTCTTTCCACATTAACTGTCTAAAAATACCCACAAGTAGTAGATTAAGTGTATTCACAACAATAAATTAATAATTTACAACAAACAGACATGATTTTTTTCTCTGTTATTACACTAACAAAGTGGCAGAAAACAATAGACTTCATTTTTTCCATCTCTGCAGTGCGCTTTATTAGCTATTGATTAGAAGCAATGACTAGGTGTTGACATTTCAAAGCTACCGCTAGCAGGGCCGTTACTGGTGTTCTGTTTAATAGAGATTCAGCAGATTCTGTTCTTGGCTGCAACTTTGTTTTGCAGGTGCAACTTGTCCATTGTTGGTGGTGCTACAGTACCCTCAGGACCCCCTGCTGAATGGCGGATGGAGTCCAAGTACAGTAGCTCCCACAGGTGAAAAGTGCTGCTGTCAGGAGAAATTTTGGTGGACTTCTTTAATCTCAGGCTTGCTGGGTTTGTAGTTGTGTTAAGAAAAACCACCTGGCCCCGAGAAGCTCCTGTGGATTTTGCACTATACTGAAGCGGAAAGAATAGGTCTGTCCTGTCTGTTCAACACTTCAATTTCAAAATACTGTGTGACACTGCAAGGCTATTAGAACTAATAAAAATGGCCTTCCCTAACACTAGGAGCTGACATTTCTGCAGAACAACTCCGCTTTTTGTTCAAACCGTTAATATCTATATATTCTGGGCTTTAGCCCTATATAATTAGATTGAGGAAACTGAGCATTGTCCATCCAATCTTTTTTAATGATACATATAGGAGAAGATAAATTACAGTGAGTTTGGTTTGGCTGAAGGCACTACAGCAGAGGTTAAATTGAGAAATGGAGAACATCTACTGTCAGCAAGATCACGGGCACTTTCCATCTTTACTGCCTATGGATAATATGAGCTGTCTTTGTTCTGAACATTTTACCCAGCCACAAACATGGCCAAGTCCTCTGCTCTTTGACCTGGCGAGAGCTTCCTCGTGTTTCAGAGCTAACTTTATTCATAGGTAATTGCATTGGTTCAAGCTAGTGTGCCAGCGTACTTCACATTAATCAATACTGAGATAAACTTTGTGTCTTCAGTCCACATAGAATATTTCCACTGTGTTGTATTTCTGCTGTGTTTTAGACAGTGGAGAATGGCAAAAGTTTTTATATTTTTCTGAATGGCAGAAGTGAACTGGAGGAGCGGGTGAGAGGATGAGTGTTGAACGTCAGATAAACTGTTATGTAACAGGAGGGATCAAGAGGGTTTGGCAGTGGAGTAATGAGAACTTAATCTGTGCATGGCAAAAGCCTTAATCTCCCGCCTCATCCTGTCTACTCACACTCTTTTGAACACACAAACATGTCAGCGTGAGCCAGTGAATGTCAGACCGAAGGCTGAATCATGTACTACAATACCCTTGTTCATTTATAATACTGAATGTATTTACATTTTAAAGCACATTTTTTTTCAGGAAATATTTCAGGCGTTTTATTAGATGTCTAATGCAAACATTCCAATTACCTAAATCTCATGTTGAATTTGTGTTAGCCTACTTTTCCATTCTATATCCTCCACTTTTGTGTTTTCTCAATGATGATCATAACATAGGCTCAAAACAGCATCCAACTTGCACTGTTTATACTGCACATTTTCTGTATGCCTAAAATAACTGGATGATCTACTACAGCTACAAAAATGTACAGTACATTAAACAGCAGTTAGTTCCAGTCCTCATATTTATTGGCTAATCAGCGCTCGAAGAGTGCCAGTCCAACAGTTTCTGTTTCCCTTTCAAGGGAACTTCGAACTGCGTCCTCTAGGGGTCGCTATGGGGAACGCCTCGTCGTGACCGTGTCTGAAGCATACATTGAAAAAACACCAACAACACATTGGCCGGCGACAGCTCATGACATCACTACCGGTGCGATTATAGTATAAATAGGCGCCGGGAGAACATGTCATTCTCTTCTTCGTCTTCACTGACCATTTTGTTTGAAGCGTGCATTTCCGTGGTAAGAGCGATCTATATTCCTATCGTTATGGCAAGCACTAGCAAAGAGAGGGTGTGTGCATCCGCATCGTCGTTATTTGACACACACAATCTCTGCGTTGTTTGTTTGGTCAAAGAGCACGCACGCGATGTCCTTGAGGGGGCAATCCGCGTTCATTGTGAGCATATTTTAATGAAAAGCTCCGCTCTCGTTTGTCTCTCTTTTTGAGGAAAGGGAAGCAGCCATCTGCTTCCCGCCACTCAGAACCCACCGCTGCTGAGGCACGGGGGATGGGCTCGTGGGGATCCCAGGTGGATCCGGCTGATGAGTTTTGTAGCATTTGGACCAATCAGACACACAACTTTTTGTTATATTTAACAAATAATATCGAACTCCCCATCACCTAACCAAATGGCCAATTACGAGGGTCTATGGACCCTTCCCCCGAAATGCACCTAACACCTCAGAAAGGCAGAACAGGCCTCTGGATCCGCCTCTCTGATGCACTGAGTTTTTGGCTAGCTTGCAGTACACTTACCTCTGATTCTAACGATCATGCTGGGCGAGCCCCCTCTCTTGTTAAGAGCTGGGTCTGTGTTCCCTCAGCTAGGTAAATTTAATGCTGGCAGTTCCAGTATTGGAACATGCCGTAGGTCCGAGCCTCCCTCTCGTTTTAGAGCTGGGTGTGTTGCTCCTCGCACTCCCCTCAGCATGGCGGCGTTGGTATATCGTTCCCCATAGCGACCCCTAGAGGATGCAGTTCGAAGTTCCCTTGAAAGGGAACGTCTCAGGTTACTTATGTAACCATGGTTCCCTGAGTAGGGAATGAGACACTGTGTCCTCTAGGCTTCCTGCCATGCTTCGAACGCAAGCTTCAGACGAAGAAGTGAATGACATGTTCTCCCGGCGCCTATTTATACTATAATCGCACCGGTAGTGATGTCATGGGCTGTCGCCGGCCAACGTGTTGTTGGTGTTTTTTCAATGTATGCTTCAGACACGGGTCACGACGAGGCGTTCCCCATAGCGACCCCTAGAGGACGCAGTGTCTCGTTCCCTACTCAGGGAACCATGGTTACATAAGTAACCTGAGACGTTCTGTTTGTGCTTTCCAGAAAAGACTGTCAGTGTATTCCAGGCAATCTGTGTGTTAGTGCATTATGTTGAGCATACTCTGTAACCATTTCTGCAGATTACATCTTTATGCTTAGTAGGTGGTGACTTTTTGATTGAATGAATTATTGACTCCAAATAAAACCAATTTATTTAACAAGGAAACATGTGAATGTGTGTATTAGTGAGTCATCTAATCATTCACTCAATTGATTTGTTCAGAAACACTGATTCATACACGAACGCAGTAGTGTTGCTTGAAAGAGACAGGGATTGTTCTATTGTCAGACCAAAAATAGACTAAGTAGTTGTCAATTTCAGGTTTACAGTGTAAGTTACTGTTGTGTAAAAGTTAAATCACACATTTGAAATGGTGCTGACCTAAATGTCAGCATTATTTATAGCTTATACATTAATGATATAGGCTACATATGCTAGTAAATTTCACAATCAGCTCGATTTTGGTTTTCAGTGAACATGATCTGACTCCTTATGCACATCAGACTGCCAAATGATAAGACCTGAGTTATTAAAATTCTAATTAACCATGTTTATTTTAGAGATTGTTAACTGAGCTAAAATAAAAATGCAAAGTAAATGTGTAATGTAGTACTACTTTTTATATTTGCATATTTCATGCTGTTTCATATGCTATTTAAAAAAAATATTAGGTCGTATATGGTATATTCTGCACACTGAACAGTATGCTAGTATTCTGTTCTAAACCTACCCAAAGACTCTTTATGCAGGTGTGACTATCAATGAACTGGATATCCAAATTCAGTTAGTGTGCTCTGGTTGTGGGACTTCCTTTGACAGTCTGAGTGAATGGACTCTCTCTGCTGGTCTGAGAGATATTGAGAGAGATGTGGCCTCAGAAGCCCTTCTGTGTGCTTAACAGCATCCTCACATAGCGGCCTAATAACAGCAGTCCCATACTTTATCCCTCTCTCTTTCAGGCTACATTCTGAGTCTGGTTTTGCTCACTCTGCCCCGACAGCACCTGGTGCAGCTCTACCTGTATGTGCTCACTGCTCTGCTGCTGTTCGCTGGTCACCAGATCTCAAGGTGAGAGTTTAGGACTTTAGAAAGAGATTGACAGAAAAGCTGCTCCCACCATAACAACTCTGATTGCCAGTAAAAATTCCCTTAAAAACACTGTTTGACATTCAACCAAGAGAGAATCCATCCTGCATTTTGATTTAGTCTGTTTTATACAATATAGTTGATTATATTTTTCTTTGTTAATTAAAAAATGGGACTGACCCACTTATGGGTTTGTCAGATTTTTTTTGTAAATGTTTTTGAAAGAAGATCCCCAAGTTATGTTGATTAAGTGCTCAAGAAACATGTCTTATTATTATCATTGTTGAAAACAGTTGTGCTGCTTTACATTTTTATTTTTTTTGGAAACAAAAAAATGATACATGTTTTCCCCTGGATTCTTTGAGGAATAGAGAGTTCTAAAGAACATTTATTGAAATTAATTTTTTTTGTAAATGTGTTTACGGTCACCTTTGATTAATTTAATGTATCCTTGCTGAATAATGATAATTTCTTAAAAAAAAAAAAAAATCTTACCAACCCCAAACTTTTGTATGGTAGTGTATATTATATTATACTGTTATTTATTTGCCTTCATGTGTTTATAACCCCTATGCTGTTTTTCCCCATGGAACACAAAAGTTAAAGTATTAGTATATTATTTAAATTATTAAATTATAATATTAGTTTATTTTGATTAATTTTTTTATTTTAGTTTTTATTTTATGATTAGTTTAGTTTGTGTATATATGTATATATATATATATACAATGATTAATAAATAAATAAATTATAATAATATATAATAAACTAGCCAAAAGAGAATTTTGAAAATTGTATTTCTATTAGCATTTATATTTGGACATTTAAATAATATTGCAAAAAAAAAAGTGTTTTTAATGCTTTGAAGGTAAGAATGCTTCTCTTCGCTGCCATGCTCATGGGTCCGCAATTATAGTGTGGTGCTTTGCGTTTGACAGCTGGCTGTTTAGTGTCAGATTAAGAGAGAGCTTTTAGCACATTTCTCAGCATAATGTGTGTCTGTAGAAAAAGCAGTGACTGCTCAAATTAAGATCACCCAAGTGTGGCAAATCCATTACTGCCAGCTCGTAACTTAACTGCCTCACTGTATTCCCTCTCTGCCTCCATACACTGAGCAGAGCCAAGCTCAGATAAGAATTTAAGCAAGCTTTCTAAATGTTTATTCAGTATGTGTGTGTCATATATGACACCCATTCGGTCCTCTAAACGAGTTCATCTCCCAAACAACATGTCAGAGTCATGTATCACCCCCAGAAGAAATTATGATGTTATGTGCAAAGCCAATTCAATAATTACATTTTTCACCAAAAGCTATTGTAGAGCTTTAAAAGTGAACATCTTTTATGGAACATGCTGCTTTAATGATACTTTTGCATAATTTTCTAAGCTTGAAATCTTCAGTTTCATTAGAAAAGGTAGAATTTCTGAATAATGTGCTGGTCGCTCTTTTTTTTTTTACACAATTATAATAATTGTGTAAAAAAAAAAAAGAGCGACCAGCACATAATTCAGAAATTCTACCTTTGTGTTCCACAAAAAAAAAAAAAAAAGTTATGCAGGTTTGGGGCCTTTTTCCCCCACAAAAATTAGTATTAGATCAAAAATAATTGCTGGAGCCCCTGCAGTAGTGCTGCAGAGCACCTAGGGGTTGCGAACCCCATATTAAAAACCCCTTAGCTAAGGTTAAAGCATTATTTTAAACTTCTGAAAGTCAGTGGTAGTTGTTTTTGTGCTCAGTGGGACTCAGCTAAGAGTTATATAAGGGACTGTTCTCTCAGGAATTCTAGTCTGATAAAAACAGACGGACTGATGGGTCCACTGCTCTGCGCTGTCTGACTCGGGCTATAAGTATAGATCCTCCACAGGCTGTGATGACTCAGGGATAATGTCACACTGTGAGAGGTTAGAATAAGGTGTCTGTTCTCTGTTTCAGGGACTATGTGCGCAGTGAGCTGGAGTCTGGCTATGAGGGCCCGCTGTACCTGGAGCCTCTTTCCATCAACCGCTTCACTACTGCACTCATCTGTAAGTGCCTGTCAAAGTCTTCAAAGGATCACGCTTTTAAAGTCAATGTGAAATACTGTTCACAAACCATTTTTACTTCTTTAAGATAAATGATTTCTGAGTGAAACAGGATGTTCAGTGAGAAAAATTTTCCTTGGAAAAATGTGCACAGATGAATTAGTGCTATTAGGGCTGGGCGATATATTACCAAAGTTATATATAATTTTTTAAATATTTAATTAGCATAATTTATTAATATTAGTAATAAAGTAATATAATTAACATATTAATACATATACTATATTAATAATATTAATTAAGTATAATATACATAATAATTAGTCATTATCATGCATAAGAAAAATATATAAATACTAAGCATTAAATACAAATAATTTAATTCATGAAAAATGAAGCAAAGGCCACATTGTGTCGCCGCACGCATTCAGGAGTGAAATGCTTATAATACAATTGCAACCTCTCGGATATTCCTCCTCCTTCAAAGTTTGCAGATGGGAAACAGGGTATTGGTACGGAAACAGACGAAAATGCAAATCTCTGTCTTTGCTACACTGCAAGTTGGAGGGGACTTAGTAAGTTAAACAGGGTCAGTTCTGATTTCATGTTGACTTAAAATTGACGTTCCAAATCATGTTCCCGTCACATGCGAGTCCCATACTGACTCATTACAGCTCATATTCAGTCTGAACCTGTGCTCATGTAGTGTCATTCTGGGAAGAGTTGGGTAGTTTTGCATGTCTTGGCATGTGATGTCAGAGGTCAAGGCATTTCCCACTCTTGTTCCCGTCTCATATGCCGCCTGCCCTCATAGGGTCAGTTCTGATTTCATGTTGACTTAAAATTGACGTTCCAAATCATGTTCCCGTCACATGCGAGTCCCATACTGACTCATTACAGCTCATATTCAGTCTGAACCATGGTCATGTAGTGTCATTCTGGGAAGAGTTGGGTAGTTTTGCATGTCTTGGCATGTGATGTCAGAGGTCAAGGCATTTCCCACTCTTGTTCCCGTCTCATATGCCGCCTGCCCTCAAACACACTGCACAAAAGCCAGAGATGCAGCTTTCATATTTTCCCCTCTCATCACTTTTGCTATAAGTACAATCCTTTGCCAGCTTAATGTCAAAACCTCTCCTGCTCACTTCCTTTATTTTTTTATTTTTTTTCTCTCTCACAAATATGGTCTGCCCTTCCCCTTGTTTGTAATATGTCATACTTTCCCTTACTCTCTCACTTTTTCTTTCACTGCATTTTGTAAATCTGTCCCTTCCTCTAACTTTCTTGCTTTCTCTTCAACTACTGTATATTTATTAATTATTTTCCCCTTTCTGTGTTTTGCTTGACATTTATATGGTTTAGGGGATATATATATATATATATATATTATTGTACTTGCTGTACTAAATTTACATTTTCCAGATTTTTTATTAGAAAGAAACATTGTGTTCAGACAGAATGATTTTCTTACTGCATTACAGTAATGCGAATGAGATTTATTGTTGTTATTATTATTATTATTATTATTATTATTATTATGTACTTAATAGGCTTAATTTTCTTTAAACAAAGATAAATGTTTTTGTTACACAGCATTTATTCAACGTTTTGATTAATTTGGCCTAAAAAACAACAACAACAAAAAAAAACTTTAAATAGTATTTTTGTTTGTCATCCTGAGTTTTGATGTGCAGATCATACTGGCTAGCTTTATTGATGGTAGTTTTATTTATATATTTATTTATTGTTATTTTATGTTTTATTACATAACACAAAAGATTGTTTATTTTAAAAAGATATTTAGAAGAGTATATATTACGTCTTCATTTATCCGTCTCTCCCACCTTCAATACCACGACTGAGGTGCCCTTGAGCAAGGCACCGAACCCCCACTGCTCCCCGGGCGCCGCAGCATAAATGGCTGCCCACTGCTCCGGGTGTGTGTTCACGGTTTGTGTGTGTTCACTGCTGTGTGTGTGCACTTTGGATGGGTAAATGCAGAGCACTAATTCCTAGTATGGGTCACCATACTTGGCCACATGTCACATGTCACTTCACTTTAGTTATAGTGAAAATTGTGGAAAGTGAAAATTCCACTTGCTAATTCAGCTTTTGTTTGTGTTGAAGTTAAGTTGTAAAAAATTTAGAAAGTCAAATATATATATATTTTAATATATATATATATA